TGACATCTAAGACAGCGGGGGGGTGTGGTGGGGGGAGTACCAGGGTGGTTTTACCGTAGGGACTGCGCTGCTCCACTGACTCTGCTGTGTAGCCGTAGTTAGTGGGGAAGAAACACCAGGGAACGCTGCCTACGTCCAGTGGCCCCCAGCAGCATCCACGCTGTTCACACCGCGTCTGTTCACAGACGTACAGGACACGTCACCTTTTACTGTCAGTAATGCTTCAAAACTGTTACAGTTTAATAATAAAAAACCAGATCGTTCTCACCTTTGAAGCTCCGGCTTCTGGGAAACAGTCGACTCTTTCAGCATGAGGAATAACAGGACACTCTGGTTTGAAGTTTGAGTTTTCTGCCAGAATCAAGAGAAAAACGTCATATCAGCTTCTGTACATTTATGCATACATTCATGATCTTGACTGACACTGACACATTCAGGACACATTTGTTTCATTTAATCGATCTAGTAGAACAATAACAATAAGAATAAAAGCTGACATTGAACCAAACCTACATTGTTTTTTAACTACACATTTTAAGCAGACATTTTCACTTCACTTACCATTTTCATCAACAAAGCCACTTTCTCCAGTGACAAACAGGACCAGAAAAGTTATGGCTACAACAGACATCAGTAGGAACATGACAATCAGGGTCACCTCCAGCCCTGAGAACCGTCTTTTCCCCATCTAACACACAGACAGACACAACATCAGGACTCACTGACGGTCAGTGAACATCACTGGAATTATGGAGAGAAAAGTCACTTCATTCATACACTTTGGATTCAGTTTAATGATAATTGTCAGAAAAAAACTGAATACATTCTGGGTTTTTGATCCCAGTTAAAACTTCAATGGTCTTGGAGGAAAAAATATAGACGGCAGGTCAATAAAATATAAATAAGAAATTAAAAATAACTTGTTCTCCACCAAAACTTCCACTACTTACAATGAATGACTTGAGTTTTGATTTTTAAAACAAGTCAAGTTCAGTAAAACAAAAACATTAATGCGTGTCTCCATCAACAGGTAGGAATAAGGTTTAAGTTTCCCAAAAGGTCAAAGGTGGGAACGGGTGCTGTTTGAGTTTGACCTTTGAACCCTGAGGTGACACAGCAGCCTGTTGTAACCGTGACACCCATCGCTCCATGTGTTTTATCACCACTGTAGGACATCACTGACGCTGCTGCATCAAAACATGCTTTTTATGAGTGCGCCATAAAAACCAGAGCCGTACCATGAATTTGCAGCCAAAACACTGTCACTTCTGTGGGACAAAAATCAATGGGACAGTCCACAAGTCCACATTTGCTGTGTTTTTGGAAAACAAAGTCATCTTGTGTTCTCCAACAGCAGAATAATCCCAGCAGAGCCATTCTAGAACTTTGTTTTACCCAAACCACAAACACACGGTGTTAGTCTTCAGTTCCAAACACAGACCAGACAAATGTTTGGCTAAATATTTTCACTTCCACTGGTGTCGTGTGTCGCTTTTCTACTTTAGACAACATTGAATTACTTCATTAAAATGCTAACACCTTGGTCTGTAAAATGCAACAGATCGTTCTTATTTTCCAGAATGTGATAAATAACTTCCCACTCAGCCCAGGCCTCGGTGATATATTATTATTAAACACCGTGTTCTTAGTTAAACACTTGCCCCCCCGGTGCGATATAATCGACATCACGACGTAGAAGAACGCTACTGGCGCTAATTTGACGTCGTATTTTCACGACGACGTGAAAGTAAGGTTATTAAGGCTCCATATTTTACCGTAGCCCGTCATTGACATACAAACCCAGTACAAACATGACCCTGATGCAGCCCCGACCCTCAGCTTCAACACTCACACACAGAGACCATTTAAAAGGACTTCATCTTTAACTCAGGGATCTGGTCACTTGGACAGTTGTCTCTGAAGTCCAACCACAGGAGTCTCTTTGTCTTTTTCAGTCTTTAAGACCGACTGGTTTAAAGGACCTCCAGTGTCTGTGACGTTAATAAACTTTAGACAAAGACAAAGTCCTCCCTGAGGCTTTGTAGTGTTCAAATATTTACCAATCATTCTCTGAACATTCTTCAGAATAATCTATAAACATGTCTAGATTTGACGAGACGTTAAGAAGTAAATACATGTATAATAAATATATGTAAGTCTGTGTTGATTGGTCAAGATGTTTGTACTTCTTACCTCGACTCTGTCCAAAAACAAGATAAAGAACGGCTCCCTGAAGGTGTGGACCTTCACACACTGGATGTGTTGTTGTGTTAACACCTCCTCACCACTCCTCACTTAAGTGCATCCCATGGTGTGTGTGTGTGTGTGTGTGTGTGTGTGTGTGTGTTTTTACAGTCCCAGTGAGTAAAGCACAAAGTCCTGAACATCAGACAATCATAAACAACGTCAGGACAATTTAGACCCTGGATCCTCAACTAAATGATCAGAGTGTGTGTGTGTGTGTGTGTGTGTGTGTGTGTGTGTATGATTCACTTCCATAACATTATATCATCATTTTGTTATTGTAAGATTCAGAATCAGAATTAGAAATGACTTTATGGATCCCCTGAGGGAAAGAATTAACTTTACTTTAATGAGGTAAAGTGGATCAAAATAGAAATAAAATAAAATACAATATATATGTAAAAAAAAAGAAAATAAATTCCACAATAAAAAGAAAGCAAATCATAAACCAATGTCAGTAATATATATGTCTTTTTGATGAAATTATTTAAAAAATGTTTGATATTCAGTCGATTTGATTTTAAACCAAAAACACTTTTTACTTCTTCTTCTTCTTCTTCTTTTTCTTCTTCTTCTTCTTCTTCTTTTCTTCTTCTTTTCTTCTTCTTCTTCTTCTTCTTCGTCTTCTTCTTCGTCTTCTTCTTCTTCTTCTTCTTCGTCTTCTTCTTCTTCTTCTTCTTCCTCTTCTTCTTCTTCTTCTTCTTTTCTTCTTCTTTTCTTCTTCTTCTTCTTCTTCCTCTTCTTCTTTTCTTCTTCTTTTTTTCTTCTTCTTTTTCTTCTTCTTCTTCTTCTTCTTTTCTTCTTCTTTTCTTCTTCTTCTTCTTCTTCCTCTTCTTCTTCTTCTTCTTCTTTTCTTCTTCTTCTTCTTCTTCTTCGTCTTCTTCTTCGTCTTCTTCTTCTTCTTCTTCTTCGTCTTCTTCTTCTTCTTCTTCTTCGTCTTCTTCTTCGTCTTCTTCTTCTTCTTCTTCTTCCTCTTCTTCTTCTTCTTTTCTTCTATCAGGGTCAGATATTCACTGGGACCAAAATGTCTTTTACTCACGTGTGACTATTTAAGGCCTAAAGTCTTGGTATAATAAATGTGTAAATCATTAATTAAGATGACATGGCATTTTATCCTGTTATAAATCCAATCTGGTTAATAATTAACTACAGGAAGAAGTACGTTTTTCCCAGACCCAATATTTCCCCGTCCACAGTTTCAGCCTAATTAACCCAATAAACACAACCTTTGATCTTTCACCACGTAGCCTTTTGGCTTCATTAGGAAGATGACAGGAAATGAGTAGGAACTGTTTTGGGCCTAAGAACTTGTTCTGACGTTTCACTGGTTCCTGAAGTTCTGATTCACCTCGATGAGCGTCAGTGATACTTCAGCGTCCTATCAATGAGCTCGCAGTATTGTCTTGACATGGAGATATTTGACTCAGTCTGTGAACCGTTGTTCTAATTCTGAGTTCTGTCCTTTTATAGAACTGTTCTCTCGTAGCTGTCGGCTGCGAACATTTATTTTTATCAATTTGATGATTTCCCTGGACTTGCAGTGAGTTCATTAACGGAGCTCTGAGAAACCAGATCAGTAGAAAAAGACGCACGTGTTGCTTTAATGCAGAGTTCACTCACGTCTCCTCTAATGAAGCCACACGTTGTGCAGTTGTTTACTTTTTTAATTATAATCCACCCTCTTGATGAGCTTCTTCTTTCAGTGGCTGCCTGGTTTGTGGAAGGATCTAATGACACTTCATGCAAACACGCTGTTCAGCCCTCACCACACCGACAGCACTAATCAGCCTGGAATGTCTGACTGAGGCCGCTCCAGGCCGCTCCAGGCTGCTCCAGGCCACTCCAGGCTGCTCCAGGCTGCTCCAGGCCGCTCCAGGCTGCTCCAGGCCACTCCAGGCCAGCCGCCTCCAGGCCGCTCCAGGCTGCTCCAGGCTGCTCCAGGCTGCTCCAGGCTGCTCCAGGCCGCTCCAGGCCGCTCCAGGCCGCTGAATTCATCTGAACATTAGAGGTTAAAGGGATTTGATTTGTTTGGTTTGAAGATATTAATTATGGAATAGTTCAACTCTGACACTGACGCCTCAGTTTGACTTTGACGTCAGTTCTGATCTGGTCAAACAGGTCTGTAGATTTTGACGTTCCGTCTCTTTGGGCCAAAAGATGTTTTTTTTCTGCAGGAACAGTTGAAGCTCCTGCTGCAGGAGAAACTAACGCCTTAAACCACAAAGTAAAACCACAGCTGAAGACGTTATGACACAACAACCAGGAAACCCTACAGTCCACCAGGTTTTAATAGGTCAATAATATCAAACATTTAAATAATAAATAAGATCAAACATTTCATTGTTTGACTCACTCATCTCATCTCCTGATTCTTATCACTTCAACTCTTTGTCCCATTCTCTCTATTTCTTCTTCCTTCACGAGGTTAGAAGTCAGTCTGTATGAAGAGCAACCGTGGTTCCCTACGTTACCTGGCAACTCAGAATGGGTGAACTCTCGTCAAGTGCCAGTGTCTCCTCACAGGCGTGAGTCTATATATCCATCCATCCATCCATCCATCTATCATCCATCCATCTATCATCCATCCATCCATCATCTATCATCCATCCATCATCCATCCATCCATCCATCCATCTATCATCCATTCATCCATCTATCATCCATCCATCCATCATCTATCATCCATCCATCATCCATCCATCCATCCATCTATCATCCATTCATCCATCTATCATCCATCCATCCATCATCTATCATCCATCATCTATCATCCATCCATCTATCCATCCATCCATCCATCCATCTATCTATCCATCCATCTATCTATCATCCATCCATCCATCCATCCATCCATCCGTTCTTGTGTTCCAAAGTGCAGTACACACCATATTGACCTCCCCCCCTCACTCACCCACGTCCATTATCTCCCATCCATCTCTGACGACCGACTGCTGATTCGCGGCCGTAGAGAACTGTACAGTACTGTAGTACTGTAGTACTGTAGTACTGTAGTACTGTAGTATTTTGTACTCGTGTGACTAATTAGTTTCTGCTGGAGGTCAGAGCTGCAGAAACAACACAGGAGACGGATGGTTTTGGTATCTGAACCTAGAGTTATCTGAGCCACCCCCCGCCCCCCCACTCCCTCCGACTCCCCCCGGTGGTGGTTGGGTGTGTGTCCTATATTAGGTGAATGACTGGTTGTTGCTGTGGCTCTGCTGCCAACACAGAGGCCTCTCTTTGACTCTGCTTGATCAGCATGCAGCTCATCCCTGCATCACTGTCCTTGTGTTATAAATACACACACACACACACACACACTGACACACACACACTCACACTCACCGTCTTAATGCTCCTCTTGACTCCGTGCCTCTCCTTGTGGTGTAAATGTCATGCACTAAAGTCTAGACTCTTCTGTTCTTATTGGTGAAGCAGTGCATTATGGGAGAGCAGCCTTTTCTACCAACCCAGTTACAGGGATTAGACGTCTATTTAAAACGGTACTTTATTTACACACAAACTCTGGTCTGAAATATGATCTGTGTGTTTAAGACTGTGGAGACAGTCAGGCTTTTTTCTGTGGCAGGGAATTGAACCGACGACTGTGAACAAATACGTTCCTCCAGAGTTGTTGGGAGTGGTGGGGGGGTGGGTTGGTGGTGGTGGTGGTGGTGGTTGTGATTCTTATTCAAAATCCAAAATAACCACATGACCCATAAAACCCTCGGTCGTCACGCTCCCCTCTCTCCCTTTTCACATTTTGATCAGTTTTCTCCTTAATCCTCTTTTTAAAATCAGCTTCTTTTCATCCAGAATTCTTTCTTTTTTTTCAGAAACATCTTAGTCTTTCTCTTCAGGCGAGATGGAGAGAAGGAGAAAGACAGAGCTCAGAGAGCAGGGTGGAGGAGACAGAGGGTGGAGGAGACAGAGGGTGGAGGAGGAGACAGAGGGTGGAGGAGACAGAGGGTGGAGGAGGAGACAGAGGGTGGAGGAGACAGAGGGTGGTGGAGGAGACAGAGGGTGGAGGAGACAGAGGGTGGAGGAGACAGCGGGTGGAGGAGGAGAGAGCGGGCGGGGGAGAGTGA